ATTCCCGTTAGATTTAATTTATCAGTTTCTTTTACCGAGACCGTATTTGTTCAAGAATTTACTAGTCCTGAAAAGCCTGGTGGTAGCAATTCGACCAATTTGGCCACAAATAATTATAAATCTGGACTTTGTAATTTGATGTTTGCGATTTTATTCTCGAGTAACTTAATTTATAATGCCATTGAAATATTCTAGACCTTTGAAATGTACAGATTCCCGAATGTCATAATCCCGAATGTCAAAATCCCGAAGGTACAAAATCCCGACTAGTATAAAATCCCGACATCAAAAAATTATTGTTGCGTGACATTAGCTAATCTGATCGTCATAATTATGTCATATTAACGTTAATAATGAAACAAATAAAATAAAATAAACTTTTTTTTTGTTTCGGAATTTTTTTTCGTTGTAACTTTACTTATCTCAGTCGCAAACAACACCAACAAAACGCCCCAACGAAAAAAATCGGCCGATGAAGAGCGGAACGTAAGTTGAATTTTATCAATCAACCAGTCAATTTTTCAAACGATAACCGATTTTTTTGTTTTTCTATAATAGAATCTCAGTCACAAAGTACACCAACAAAATGCCCCAACGAAAAAAATCGGCCAATGAAGAGCCAGAACGTAAGTTGAATTTTATCAATCAACCAGCCAATTTTTCAAATGATAACCAATTTTTTTGCTTTTCTATAATAGAAAAAAAGACAAAAACGCGTCTATACAATATCATTTGAGGATGAACTGATTATTTTAGATTGTAAGTTAGTCATAATATAATACTATTTTCATATTAATACTAAATAACTTTTCAAATTATAGACGTAGATTTAGGAGAAATGCAAAGATGATATGGGGAAATTCGGCTCCCATCAAAATTTCAACGACAACCAATGGCAAGTACTTCAGCTGCAGCTGAATTCAAGATTCTTGATGATTCAAACGATTTAGAATCAGGTATATTATTTTTGATTTATTTCCATTCATTATTTTATAATTAACAATATATTTTCTTTATTCCTACATAGAGAATCAAATGTTAAAAGAAAAACTTGCTGAATTTACCAAGAGAATCAAGAAATTGGAGCGACAAAATTCCGATCTCTTGAGAGAAACTGATTTCTTGCTAAAATAAACGAGGAATTCAGTAAGAAAAATGAAGATTTACAGGAGAGATAAAAATTCGTATATTAATATCCTATATTTATAATAACTAATTTTCTTTTTTAATATTTAAGACTTGACCAATTTGAGAGATTACGACTGTTCAGATCATTGAAGCAGTCCGATACCAGTCCTTCTGCAAAATGAAGAAAAATTGGAAAATTATCATCAAAATCAAAGGGAAAAAAGCCAGTGCATTATACCAATGATAAATTGGAATCGACATAAAACAATTCTGAGAATAATGATAATTTAACAACAGAAGAGGCTAACGTAAAAGAAGCTAAAATATGTTTGAATTTATGTCTAAATAATTTAAATGCTTAGCTGATTTTTTTCATGCTTTTCGTATTTAGGAAATGAAGGCAGTTTTGAAAATTATCAACTCAAAGGATGATTTAAACTATGATGAACCTTTCAATAACGAGAAAAATTTTGTATTACGTTGTAGTCTAATTCTAGAATTACGAAAGTCCTTAGCTTTGAATTTTCAGTCTTTTGTTGATCAACTTATAAACTGGCTGAAAACTCATCATAAGTCACGTCAGTCAGCTTGAAAAATTAAGAAAAGCAGAAAGAGTCCTTCAGAGCTGTGACAAATTCATAATAATAATCGAATACATAAAGTAAGCAAATAAAATATATTCTGAATTTGGGTCTATTTGAATCAATAATTTAATATCATTTATTATTTATTAAAAAACAGCTTAACGAGTAAAGATTGCAAAATATTTGTTTAAAGAAAATGACTAACGAATTGCAAAATACGAAAGGTGATCTTTACTTCAAATTCTCAATGATAGCCTATACTATTCATCAGAAATTAGCAAAATGGATGAAGAAAATCATCAAAGATCCATTATTGCTATATATGACTATTCTTAGAAATCAGTTAAGATTTATTTTTTCTTTATCTAATTTAGCATATTTCAAATTTATTTAGTATATTCTACTAATATTCTTTCTTATTTTCTTCTTTTAGCTGAAAAATTTACTAAGAAAAGTATTTGATCTTTATGCTGTTACAACATCATCATCTCAAATTCAACGAGAGAAAATACAATGATAATATGCAGCATTATGACCAGCCACATCCCTACAATACTCCAAAGTGATCATATAAAGTACAACCTAATATAGTCTATGATACTAAGATCGAAGTAGGAGTTATAACTGCAGAAAAATATGTAACTGAAACTGAGAAATATACTGAAATCAAAAGGGGGTTTCATCTGCTGTTAAAGAAAGTAAAGATAATTCTGTAATGGACAATAGCGAACGATGAATTTTTAGGCAATTTAGATGGAAACAGGTTGATTTTATTAATTATTTTTACGTTTTTTTGGCAATTTAGAAAATGGGTAATTTTTTATTATTATCTTTACATTTTTGGGCGATTTTGGATGAGAACAGGTTGATTTTATTATTATTTTATTATTTTTTTTACGTTTTTTCAGGCTATTTGAATGGGAATAAGTCGATTTTTTTATTTTTATGTTTTTTTTTCAGGCAATTTGGGGTGGAAATAGGTCAATTTTATTATTTTTTACATTTTTCAGGCGATTTTAGGTTGATTTTTTTATTTTTTACATTTTATATTTATTATTTTTACGTTTTTTGGGCGATTTCAAAGAAATGGATCATATTTTTATCATATATTATTAATTTATCTATATTTAGAATGATTTAAGGAAATTTTGAGAAGAAATGGATCATATTTTATTATTTTATTATTCTATTTTTAATAGAAAATTAATCAGTAGATTTTAGTGATATTTTTTTTGTTATATTTTTATATTTTTGCAAATTTATATTAGGTTTTTATTATTAATAAAATTTTAATATTTAATAAATTTAATAAATAAAATGTATCGATTATTGATGCTGAATTGCTTGTCCAATTAGAGTTAATTAGTATCAATTGACATCTGAATTGTTTTCGAATTGATACTGAATTGAGGCCAATTTTAGACTGATTTATAGTTGAATTGCCTATCTGATTGGAGTTGATCAGCATCAATCGGCATCTGAATTGTTGCTGAATTAAGGCTAATTTTAGGCTGATTTATGGTTATTTAAGTTCTGAATTGATGCTGAATGGTTATGTCTGATTGGAGTTGATCAGCGTCTATTAGCGTCTGAATTATTGCTGAATTGAGGCTAATTTTAGGCTGATTTATGATTGAATTTAAGTTCTGAATGGTCATGTCTGATTGGAGTCGATCGGTGTTGATCAGCACCTGTTTGTGCTAATCAGAAAATTTGGCAAGTCAGCTTTAAATAGTATCAAAATCAGCCTAAAATTAGCCATCTGATTTTTAGCCGATTTGGACTATTTCGACTAGTGATTACAAGTATAATCTTAGTTAAGGGATTCATCAGTATAATGTCTAACTATATGCTCTGCTGTAATTCTCTCAAGTTTGTCAAAATTCATATATCTTACTAGTACTTCAACGGTTCATTGTATATATCTTCAATAAAGATTCTCCTAGCAGAAATCACTACTTGTTAAGCCTAAATACTACGTCATTAGGATAACAAAGCTTATTTGCTAACAGGAAGTTTAAGTCGTAAAATATGAAAGAAATAAACACTAATTTATTTAAGTTAAAGGGTCAGATTATCTTTATTGATGATTTATATTTTAAGGAAATAGATATTAGCAAAGATATAGTTTTTATATTGTTAAGATTATACTTT